CCAGTCATTACCAGTCTTGGACATTCTTGCTGTGGTAAACCTCCAGCTGGAGCGCAGTAGAGCTGCGCATAAAGGCAAATGGGAAGCTTCAGTTTTTTCAGAATTCCCAATATGGGAATTCTGTCAGTTTTTGCTAGGCAGTGTTTACAGAGGATCTTAATTATATTGTACAACAAAACCACAACTATTGGAACACCCTATGACTGAGAAATTTCTTTCAATGTAATCCTTTATGGATTGTCATCCACTTTTTTCAGACACATTCAGTAATTATATTGACTACCTATTTATTTCTCAGCACAGTTCACCCTTATTTTTAAAATCCGAATTGGCTTGCTACCCAAATATCCTGTAAGGGGGTGTCTCCTCATATAAGAGGCTTGTCAGGTGCTCTTGTTTGAAGAAATATGTTATGTCTGTACAAAAGAAACAGCTTTATCTGTGGTGGTACCTTGGTTTTAGAACACTCTCTCTTAGGGTGCTCGATTGGCATTGGGGCCAGTTTAAGACATACTTAGCAATACTTCTAATTACCTTGACAACTTTCACACTATCACTAGTGAATGAGATTGCAGAGATCTAAGTATCTCTTCATTCTGAGGAAAAATGGCACTCGCTAATACATCGGCTTTTGGCTTATCTCCCTGCTATAAGAAACAGAAAACAAAAGAAAAAGGCTCAGCTTTCAGAGATTTGTATCAGCCGGAGCAGCACTTACACCGATGTGCAAGCAGCTCATTTCACATGGGCAAATGCTTTGTTACATATTTATCAGGAAGGACAGTGGAATTTTCCCCTCCTTGTAAGCAGGGCTAAACATTTCTGACAAGCAGAGTACAGCACTGATTGGAAACTCACCGTTCATGTAATAACCAAGCATTTTAATTTCAGGAGCTGAAGAATTTGTTCCCTCTTGTAGATTGCCCTGAAGAAAAGCAATCCTGTCAAATACACTGGCACAGTGCATCAAGAGATTTATCTATGGTCTTATTTTCTCAAAAACTTTATTGCTTTTCCACTGCAGTTCCTTAGTATAACATAAACACTAATTAAACCTTTCATTGCATTCTTCCTCACAATAATGTTGGGTTTGACATGCCTGACAAGAAATCAGCTGTTGTCAGTGGGAATGTGTGATAACCAAACTTGCCAGTAAGGTGTACTGGGTGAAGCAGGAATGAGTTGTACACAGAGAATCAGCAACGAAGATTCAGAAAACAGAACTGTACTGCTGTAGTTCCTCTTGGACCTTGTCCCTAAATTATGGCACCACTGTCCCCTCTTGATGGTGGTGGTATGGCAACGATTTTTAGCCAAGAAATCCTTCTCTTCCCAGTACTTCTACCCCATTTATTTTACCATGAATTTTATCTCTGTATTCTTCATTTTTCATTATATGACCGAACTAGCGTAGCTTTCTACATTTCATTTGTTTTACGATTTCCATCTCTTTATTCATTTGCCTTAATACTTCTTCAGTGGACACCCTTTTAGCCCATGAAATTCACAGCATCTTATGCTTTATGTAGATGTCTGACATTCCTATCTTTTTTATGTTAGCCTGTTCTGAAGCCCACGTGTCCATGGCATACAGGAGAACCAAGAATACAGAGCATTGTACAATGCATGTTCTAAAAACCAATTTTACATTTTTGTTGCACATTAATTCTGCATCTGAAAGAAGGTTCTCCAGGCCAATTTTATTGATCCCACTATTAATCTAACTAAATTCCAATATTTGCCAGCATGTTCTACATTTTCATTTTTTGATCTTTGACTGGATTTCTTTGATTGTTTGCTTTTTACTAGCTTGAACTGTTTTCTTACCATTCATTTTAGACACTGTTTAATATGTGCTTCATTGACTTTATTGAGTAACATTTGCGGACCATCTAAATCATCAGCTAGTAATACAGATATTGCTGCATATCAGATGCTATTAATAATTTCTCAAATGACATTGTCATTTGAATCAACAAGTGCTTCTCAAAAGGTATTTGTGGATTGCTGATTGAAATGATGAGAGTACACGGCTTGGTTGTACTCTCCTTCATCACTCTGTGTTCTCTCTCACCTGATGCCCCCCTGCAGGCCCAAGTATGTAAAAATAAATATTTCTCATGTTTGAGAATTTATTTGAAAAGGCCCATGAAGCCCTCCTTCCATGTCAAACTGTACAGTGGATAGGTGCAGAACAGAGGTTCTCAACCTTGGCTAAGCCAGGTTGAACGGCAATTCCTAGAAGCCTTCACCATCAGGAGGGCTGAAGTTTCTGGGAGTTGCAGCCCAAGAACACCTGGGTTACCCAAAATTGGGAACCACTGGTGTAGAAGGAAGGCAGAGATTATATTTACTCATGTATATTATCCCCCTTTTAACCCTTTGCATGTTCAGTGTACCGTGGTGCCTTGCAAGACGAAAACAATTCTTTCCGCGAGTCCCTTCGTATCACGAAAATGATCGTCTTGCAAAGTGCAGTTTCCCATCGGAATGCATTGAAATTGCCTTAGATGCATTTCTATGAAACACCTTGCAAGACAAATGCCATTTTTTTGTCTTGGAAGCATCACTGCAAGACAAAAAAAAATTGTCTTGCGAAGCATGGCCATAGAAAAACTGTCTTGCGGAGTGCCTAGGACATCGCAAAACACTTTCATTTTGTGAATTTTTCATGGTGTGTGGCGTTTGTCTTGTGAGGCACCACTGTACTATGAAAGAGCCTAAACCTATGGAGAGCATAGGCCAATACTGAGGGACAGTGGAAATGTATCCATATTTTTGAGGTGTATATTTGAATTTGTTTGTTTGTTTATTTATTTATTTATTTATTTATTGCATTTTTTCCTGAGGTTTCTTTAAATCATTATATTGAAGAGAAGCATTCATCAGCCTTTGGCTAAGCATTGCTTTGAGTTCCTCCAACATATTAAGACCCGGCCGCAGTTCAATGTTGTGCTAATGCCTCATCACTAGTGAGGTGGAACATTCTTCCCCCCTCTACTTTCTCCTTCTTGTGCAGCCTTCCAAGCCACCTAAAGACCAGCTCATGGGACCAAGCTCCCAGCCTTCATAAACAAGTTTGAGCAGTTCTTCCTCCCGTTTCTGATGATTGAAGCTGTATTCTCAGTGGAAACAGGCTATTGGATCCTGTCCATCACTGGGATTCTACTTTCTGAACTTAAAATGGTGACCCCTGGAGGAAGAGATTATCAAAAGAAGAAAGCCCATATACCACAGATTCTTTAAAACAGACTTAATATATGTTTCATGTGATGACTACCACTTCTGCTCATTCACTAGCCATGCCTCATGTCTGAAGTAATTTATGTAAGACCTCTGGCCATGAAAGATAATCACCCTCCACAGCATTTTGTATTATTCCTCTTTAAAAAAATGTATGTGGCTGTGGATGAAATAAGAAACAGTAATCTTGAAAATGGAGGTAGCATGTATATAGCTTTAAAGGTAACACTGTATCTTCTTGATGAACTCCTATTAAACATCATTCAATTTTGTCTCATCACAACATGTCTCCTCTTTATATTGACCTTACTAGACATATTCAATACCACAGCAGCTCTTCCTTTTCTATCTCTTTTATTGCATGCTGTATATTTCTAGTTTTTAGCCCCAAATGATGTCTTTTGTTTATCATTACCATTGCCTGTTCAGAATGTCCATTCTTCTTCTTTATATGCTGTCATGTAAAAAGGAGCATTTACATTTATGTGTAGATGACAAAGTTCACGTAGATAGCTGTGGCACCTTTATTTCCCACATAGGATTTCTGCTTGCTTCTGCTGCTGAAAGTAACTGTGGTCCTCTCTCCCTGTCTCATTCTGTCTTGGCTAAGCAGTGACTTGGGACTTCTGGCTAAAATAAGACTACAGAACAACCCTTGAAGACATAGGGAGCTATTTTGGAAGGAGGGTATATTTATATGTAAGGAAATACAAGGTCTTTAGCAGCAACTAGCAGTTCTTTGAGATAGAAAACTCAAGTCCTTTCAAAGGATTGTTGTTGTTGGAAGCCACATTGCTTCCAACTTATGGCAACCCTATGAATGAGCAATCTCCAAAATGTCGTGTCCTCAACAGCCCTGCTCAATTCTTGTAAACTCAGGGCTCTGACCTCCTTTAGGGAAATAGTCATTCTCATATTTGGTCTTCTTTTCCTGCTGCCTTCAACTTTTTCTAACATTATTGTGTTTTCCAGTGAGTGTTGACTTCTCACAACATGCCCAAAGTAGGATAGCCTCAGTTTCGACATTTTTGTTTCCAAGATAGTTCAGGCTTGATTTGATCTAGGACAAGCTTGATTGGGTTTTTTGTTTGTTTTGTTTTGTTATGTTCTTGGAAGTCCAGGGTATCTCGTCCAGCACCACATTTGAAACAAATCAATTCTTTTCCTGTCAGCTTTCTGTACTGTCCAGCTTCCACACCTATACATGGTGACTGGAAATACAAGAGTGTGGTTGATCTTGGTCTCCAGTGACAGATCCTTATACTTGATTATCTGTTCTAATACCTTCTTTGCTGCCATTCGTAGTTCAAATCTTCTGATTTCTTGCCTGCAGTCTCCGTTTAGATTGATGATTGAACCAAGGCATACAAAATCTCTAAATGTTTCAGTTTCTTCATTATCAGTGCTAAAGTTGTGTATTTCTCCATTTCGACCACTCTAGGCGGCTAGAGTGTATTTCTCTAGTTGTGTATTTCTCTAGTCATTTTTTGTCTTATAAATGTCCAACTGTAATCCTGCTTTGGCACTCTCTTCTTTCACTTTTCCTAATACTTTCCAAGAATAAACACATTTGGCACTTTCTTTTTTCACTTTCCCTAACACTTTCCAAGAATAAACACAGCATAAATTCAGTGCTGGAGATAAAACTGGCTTTGAGATGTGGTATTGGCTTTGTCTGTTTATATACACAGGAATGGCATTTAAATGCATGAAAAATAATTTTCATTAGACTGATGCTAACTTGCCAATATGTGTATATGGGCCTGTATACTTTACAAGCCTTTATTTTAACTTTGCATTCCTTTATTCTCATTGCAGGGGAACACTTGAGAATCTGCCCTCAGGAATATACATGCTGCACATCAGAAATGGAAGACAAGCTCAGTCAGCAAAGCAAACTGGAATTTGAAAACTTGGTGGAGGAGACAAGTCATTTTGTACGTACAACATTTGTGTCCAGGCACAAGAAATTTGATGGTGAGTTGCATTTTATACTATGCCTCTTCTTAGAACTGAATTAGTGTATTCTGTGATCTATAAAACTGTATATAAATTAGTTAGTCTGTGCCACTTCTTGTGGGAAGTAAACTTGTTAAATGATCTCCCTATTTTAACTCCCACACATGTAAAATCAAGATGCCAAAGAAATGAGTAGATGTATTACCAAGGGAAAAGAACACATGGCCCTCTGGATGTTGCTGGACTTCGCTTTCTACCAGCCTCAACCAGCATTGCCCATGAGGCTGGCATGATGGGAAATAGAATCGAGCATCATCAAGGCTATAGTCTCCCCACCCCACTTGTAGTTCTGCTAGTTTTAGATGTATGAGAGGTTTTGTTTCCACTTGTTTGTGTGTTGTTGTTGTTGTTGTTTAATGGGGGAGACTTACTGACTTTTGGTTCTTCCCTGGAAACCTGAACGATACAAATTGGCAGCAAATGTGAAATGCTGATCACATGTTTCCCCTCTTGAAAAATTCAACAATGAATCCGCTGTACTGTCAGATCCTTCCGCTGAAATTGTTTATCATAAGAAACCAGATATTTGGAACAAACATTAATTGTGTTTTCCAGGCAATTGGATATCACGGTCTGTTTGTTGTCCTGCTAGAGCAAGAGCTTACTTTAAACCTGGCATGCCTTATATCTGATTACTGCTTTTAATTACAAAGATATGAAGGATTACAATGCTGAGAGCCTCAAGACTTGCCGACTGTTTAACAATGTGTGAGTGGAAGGAAGATTAGATCTACAGTACCTCGCTTAATACTAAATGCCTCTTCCCTCTATTTCCAAATTGTTGTTCGAGTAAACAGTGGCATTTATATAGTTGTTGTGGGTTTTTTGGGCTCTTTGGCCGTGTTCTGAAGGTTGTTCTTCCTGACGTTTTACCAGTCTCTGTGGCCGGCATCTTCAGAGGACTGGAGTAGGAACACTGTCCATGCTCTTTTGGTGTTTGTTGGATAGCATTTATAACTGTGGGAACGGCTTTTTGTCTTTTTTCAGGAGATAGGGTGATCAGCATGTTTTTGTTGTGATAAGGGGGGGGGGATGGAGAGATTATCTGTCACTGTGATTGATGGGTGTCGTTAGCTGGTCTATTTTGTGCAATGATCCCTGGCCCTTGTGGCTGTATTTTTCGGAAGGGCGTGCCAGGCCATGCGATCCCTGGCCCTTGTGGCTGCCTAGAGTTTGTTGCCCTTTTGCAGGTTGTATTTTTCGGAATGGGGTGCCAGGCCATGTTTAGTTTTAGGCCTTCTTTCCTGTTGAAGTTTTACGTTTATGGATTTCAATGGCTTCCCTGTGCAGTCTGACATAATGATTGCTAGTGTTGTCCAGTACTTCAGTATCTTGAAATAGAATTTCATGTCCAGCTTGTTTAAGGGCATGTTCAGCTACTCCTGATTTTTCCGGTTGTTTTAATCTGCAGTGTCTCTCATGTTCTTTGATTCTGGTGTGAATGCTGCGTTTTGTGGTCCCATTATATACCTGCCCACAACTGCAAGGTATCCAGTATACTCCTGCAGTGATGAGGGGGTCCCTTTTGTCCTTTGCTGACCGTGACATTTGTTGTATTTTTGTGGTGGGGCTGAATACTGTTTGTAGGTTGTGTTTTTTCAAGTTTCCCCATGCAGTCTGTGACCCCTTTGATATATGGCAGAAATAGTTTATTTGTGGGGGGCTGTTTTTCCTCTTCAGTTTGGTGTTTTCTTGGTTTGATGGCTCTTATGATTTCATTCTTGAAACAGCCATTCCCCTGTAGGCCCAATTCAGATGTTTAAGTTTGGTGCTGAGAAATTGAGCTTCACAGTTCCGATTTGCCTGGTCTACCAGTGTTTTGATTATGCCTCTTTTCTGTCGTGGTTGGAGTTTGCCTGGTCTACCAGTGTTTTGATCATGTCTCTTTTCTGTCATGGTTGGAGTTTTTGTGTAGGTACCAGTCTGTGTGGATGGGTTTTCTGTAGACCTTGTGTCCCAATAGGAGGTCAGTTTTGCGTATTACCATAACATCCAAGAACGGGAGTTGGCCCTCTATTTCTCTTTCCATGGTGAATTGTATATTTGGGTGGATGCTGTTGAGATGGTTCAGAAATTCTTCCAATTTATATTTCGCAGAAATAAACGGTGGACATTGTGGGAGCTTGGTGGAGCTACTCCTGCCGTACACTGCTTTGGTAGTCTTCCAAAATAGATCCTAGATGAAATGGAGTGTTTTCTGTTTTTCTTTGACATAAAGCATGCAGCTGGTTGCAATCTGTGATGGGAATGCTATCAGTAATGCAGGGACCAAGTTGTAGGTTTTTGTTCTAGGCACACCCACACTTCCCAAAAAGTCAGATTGTGGATTAATTTGAAATGCTTTATTTTGAATATTACAGATATTTTTGTCACTTTTTAAAGGAGTGGTAGTGTTTAGTTCCTAAAAGCCTTCCATATGTGAGGAGCATGAAGAACTAGGATGCTGCCTTATAGAGAGCAAGGCCATTGGTCCATGTAATCTAGGTTTGCATACTCTGACTGGAAGCATCTTTCCAGGATTTCAAACAGAATCTTTCCTAGCCATTCCTGGAGATCCCTGTCATTACCTGACAGCTTTGGGTATGCTAGCTTACCAGGCCAGCACTAATGAACATCTGAAATCAGACCATATCAGATATTTTCAGGATAGTGGGATGCTTTAAAAAATTGTTCTCTCTGCAACGCAGGCTCTACACTAAGTAGAGTGTTGACTCATCTAACTCTCTGTTGTCTACGCTGGATGTTAGAGGTTCTCCAGGGTCGCACTCAATAGTACTTTCCTAGCCCTGTCCAGAAATCTATAGTTTGAACTCAAGACATGTTGCATGAAAAGCATGTGCTCTCCCATCAAGCCATGGGCCCTCCCAAAATGCATGTGGGTGGGTAAAGCACACCATTTGCCACCTCATCTTGAACAGCAAGGTAGGTTAGTTTCGTCCAGTGTTTCACAGTGTAAATGTGGGCATTAAGAGATAAAGCATGTGTTGCCATTGCCACAGGGATATGGCCACAGGGACATAGCCAGTATTCAGCATGATATTCACCCACTTCAAACATTGGGCTTTCACATTCTGGACAAGCTGATGTGGCTTTTTTCTTTTCTTTTCCTTTGCAAAGGCTGAAACAAATTTCCTCCTTCTTTCATTGTGGATGTGCTTTCTCTAATTCTGAATATATGGGAAAGTATGTAGGATGGAGAAATTGTGTGGATTCATGGAGAAATGAACAACGCTAACCTAATTATTCTTAAGTTTTCTGCTTATGAGTGTCACAGTTGTTCAAGCCCTGACCTTGCTCCAGTTGCATACAGCCTTTGAGGAACTTGGATTCCAAGCAATGCCACCTGGTTATCTTGAAAGGCAAGGCAGAACAATAAAGATCCATCTGGCACCGGATTCAGAGTGCCATTAAAAGGTGGCAAAATACTAATTATTTAAATTGTTGCTGTGTTTCTACTATTAGAGATGGGCAGAGAGGTTTGAGGGATTTTCTGCCTCCTGGGCCAAAATATCTCACCTGTCTTCGGTAGCGTGCACCTGAATTTGGATGAGCACAATGTCTTGAACTAACTCTGTTGAAAGGAATTATCCAAGTGTCTTGCATAGAGATGGGCACAAACCAGAAAAACCGGTGGTTTGTGATGTTTCATGGTTAACCACAAACCACCATGAACCAACCAGAAAACCTAACTAGTTTGCAGTTCAGTTTTCGGTTCATGTCTGGTGTGTGTGTGTGTGGGGGGGTACCTGCTCCTGTTGCACCACTGCCACACTGTTATTGCTGCTGCCCCCCCTCATTGCCACTGCCACACAGAAAGCCTCAACTGGCTTCCACTCCAGGAGGCCAGGTGCTGCTTCTGTACAGGAACCCAACCTCCTCTTTATTGCCTTGATCAGCTGAGAGGCTGTCATGAGTGCATCGGAAGACCTGGACCCAGAAGGGTTAACTGAGGCTGAAGAGAATGCTGTGAGATTAGAAACACCTGAACCGCCTCCAGATTTTCCTTCCACAGCAGACAAGCTTCGGGCCAGGCTTCAGGAAAAACTTAGGACAAGGAGATCAGAGGATCGCTTAAAGGCTATCCACAGAAACCTACGTTCATCTAGTCCTGAGTATTAGCAAGATAGAAAGCTTTCCAGCAGCTCAAGGAGCTGTTTTACTATAAGTGAAGCCAGAAATTCTAACAGTAGAGCTAGAAATTTTGTGGAAGCAAAGAGTCAAAACCTTGGCTTGCATCCACGCTTCTTGTACTGTGTTCCTGACCCTGAACTCTGGACTCTGCCCTTGGACTACGCTGGTATTGGACTTCGGACTCTGACCCTGGACTATGCTGTGTATCGGACTCTGGACTTTGACACTGGACTTCATTCTGTGAGTTGATTTATGGACATTGGCTTTGCATTCTTGGTATTCTTGACCCTGGACTGGCTTATCAGACTTTGGCTGTTGTAACCCCCGGAATGTGATAGAGGCAGATGCATGCACAGAAGATAGTGACTGGTTTCCCTTCCAGGAACCCAGGCACTGCCTCTGCACATGTGCCTGATGCTCAGGGCCCTGATCAACTGGACAGAGGCAGCAGGCCTGGCTCCTAGATGGGAAGCCAGCCCACTGTCTCTGATGATGGCAGTAGAGGTGGCAGTGGCAGTGGAAGTGGCAGGACCAAGTAGAGAGGTGATGGGGGACAGTGGGAAGGGGCCGGGCAGGCATCCATTTTGCCAAAGCAAAATGAATTGCTGCAGGAGGGGGGGAGTGTAAAGTTGGTTGGCACTTCATTTCATTTTGGTGAAACAGGATCCTCAAACTGGGTCACAAACCAAACCACAAACCAGCCTGGTTTGTCAGTTTTTCAGGTTTATAATTCAGTTCATGCCCATCTCTAGTCTTGCAACAACTGCAAAAATGGGTTCTCTGGATGTAATTATGTCAAAGGTGTAATTCAGTATTTATTATTCTGC